ATTCAAAAAACAGTCACACGCACGGACTTTTTAAACAGACTATAGTTTCTTATTACATTTCTGGAGGAGTAATTAAAAGTATGGCGAAGTAATGTATCCCAAGATAGATAGAACAGAACAATCGTCCTGTAATTAACAACAGCAACTACATCATGCTTCATATTTTAATTCTACAGGGATTGTACTAACAGCTTCTTTCTCTCTAGTGTCAATACAATATATATTGCCTACATGTCTATTATATAATATTAAAAGAAAATATTTACTATAGGTTTTTTCATTACATTTTGTTTGAATTATATAGTTAAACTGACTGACATGTAAGACTTTTATTAAAGCAATTTATATTTTATATAAAAAAATTAATTAGTGTTTGTTAATATATCTATATTATCATTTGTATAAACAATATCTTTTGTTATATTCATCATAAGTAATTCTCGTGCATAACCACGTATAATAAATTGATAAAATTCATTATAATCTAATTGACCATTATGATCCCAATCAACTTTATTAATAAAATTTCGTATTTGTTCTCGACTAACACTTTTACCAATAATATGTATTAATGATTCAAGTTCCTCAGCTTGTATATATTGATCATTATTTTTATCAAACGAACGAAATGCTAACCATATAGAATAATCATTATGATGTTCATTTTCATTAGCAGTTATAACTGGAATAAGAATATCGCAAAATTGATCAAATGGTAATGGTTTTCCATAAGCATCTAATTATTTAGAAAAAGAATTTTTTGTTTTATTATTAAGATAAATTAATTAATTAATTAATTAACCTATTGGAGAAACAATTGTTTTCATTTGATCATATTGTTGTTTTGTTAGATCTAATTTATATTGATTACCATTTTCACGTTCAAACCAATCATAAATAACTTGATTGATGATATAACAAGAATAATTATGAATTTTAAATATCATTTTAGAAATATTCTATACATACCTTTAACAAGTTCTCCATTTACTTTTTTTGTATATTTTCCATATCGTCTATAATTAAAAAACAAACAAAAATTGAATATGAAAATTCTTTTTTTTTTTCTTACTTTATAACATTCTCATTAATTGGTAAATGAATAAGATTTTCCATTGAATTAAGTTCCATGGTAATTTGTTTTGTTACTCTTTGAGACCTATAGAATGATTACTACTACCAACGGTCGTTTATTATGAATATATATAAGCAAGAAAGAAAAAGATTGCTCTTTTTCTTTTTGCATCATAAGTGGAAGAAAAATAATGATAATATAAGCTCCTTGTTATTCAATTCTCTGTTTGTGACAGCTGGAATGTGTTGATCATTGTAATCATCTAATAGAAAGAAAAACAATACTCAAAAGAAGTTCTACAAGTCTAAATATGTACATAGTCATGTAAAGAATTTAATAGTAATCCTCAAAAGGAGTTCATCGATGACGATAAAAAAAAGATTATAATTGATTTGTTTAAAAGTTCAACGAATGCGTAAAGTTTGATTTGTCATTTTATTACTTGTCTACAGTAGGTGTAGTTAAGTGTATAAGAACAACGTATTTTTTTATGTTTCTCTACAATGAAAAGCATCGAACTCAAATAATGATTTTTAATAGGTAACGAAATTCTCTATTCTAATGAATTTCGTACAAAATTTGATAGATGAAATATGGAAGCAAAATTTCTAAAAAGAACCCGAAAACAATGAATGACAGATCGTCCTGTCTTCTACGACTTTTTCTTGAAGAATTATAAGCATCACAAAAAACGATTTTTTTTGCACTGCTGGTAACTCATTAAGGAATGACCGGTTCAACCCCCCTTTTGGATGTGAGTTAGCATTTGTTCAAAAATGTCCCACTCTGAAAACATTGTAAAACGAAAGTATCTCAGCAATATGCAACTATCTGAATCTCAATTTATTGAGATTTCGTTTCTATTGTGAATGAAAACTTTTCTTCATTGTCTGTTCTTTTTTAAGGAGACCATCATGAGTTCTAATATTTCTAAAAATTTTTGTCCACAAAAGGAATGACATCTGAAATGAACCTACATCAAGCTAGTTGTATACTGCTGAGACACTTTCATCGTACTATGTCACCAGAGTGAGATAAAACTGATGATTTTTGATCATATCTTATCTCAAGATTGGAGGTGCATAATCTTCTGACCTTCTCGTTCTGTATACACTTGAATGTTTGATATTATAGGAAAGAAAAAAATGTGTTATTCTTATGATATTGGCCAACAGTGTATGTGCATATGTGTACAAAAGTATAAATAATATAACATACAAGGACTCTATTGATATAACCCATTTTGTTGGAATATGTAACATTTATTCTAATTTTTTTTTATCATGTAGTATTACGATTTACTCTAGTTCTATTAGTTTCAATTATACTGAACACAAATAAAATCAAAATCGATGATTATCATTTTCAAAACTTTATTCTTGAGAATTATTTCCAGCATTGGTTTGTTTTTTTTTTTTGTTTCAAGGAAATTTAAAATTTCTATTATGATGTCTATTATTTATTTTAATCAATGCATATAAAATGAAAAAAACGAAAAACAGAAAAGTTTTAAACAAGTGTTTCTAGCGTTATTGTTGTGGGTACAACAAAATCATCATTGGATGAACTTGAACTTATACCCGATTCACTTGATGAACATGAAATTTGTCGAATTGTAGCTGTTTGTACACAAACATGTTTAGGAATATTTTCATTAATAATACTCAAAGTTGATCTAAAGAAAAAGAAAAAAAAATTTATTCATTTATTTAATAGACAAAAATTGTATGTTGTTCATACCGTTTTGAAATCGATGATACTTTCATATAATTTTCTTGTTTTTGTTGAGTATACTTTTGAAAATTTTCTTTTAATTTTTCAAGACGTTTTTCAATTGGTATTGATATTGTTTCAATCATATTTGATGTAGTTTTTTCATTTGATATACAACGACCTTGAATATTTTGTATAATTATTTCATCAGCAAATCTTACATGTTTTTTTTTATCAAATTTATATGATTGTTTTGAACGTATTTCAAAAAATAAACGTCGAGCACAACGTTGTTGATTAAATGATGCAACTATTTTATAAATACGTGATGAATTATTTAAAATTTGTCGATGACGATCTGTACGTATATAAAGTGAATAATTCTTTGGATCACATGATGGTAATACAGATAAAATTATATCTTCAACTGTTGTTTGATTATTTAAATCTCGTATCCATTTAATAGATTTTTGTCCATAACAACGAACTGGTATTTCACTAATAAACATAGCAATTGATGAATGAGCTAAAACAAAAAAAAGTTTTTTTTTTCATTTATATACCACAAAATAAAATGCATAGTGACAAATGTAACACTTTAAGATAGATAGATATAGATGCCATCATTTTAGTTATACAAAAAAAATTGTTAAAATGTTTATCGAATTAAGAGGTGATAAGATGAGAGTGTGATGGTCAAATATGATATTAACGATCAACGACAAGAGTATTTGAAATTTTATTATGATAATAATCAAAAAACTTTTTTTTTCGAACGATAAAAGATAAATTCTATGAACACGACTGACCTCGAAATAGCCAACATGGGGAAGATGTAAAGATTTTTTTTTTCTATTAGGGTTCGCTCAAAAAGTTTTTGCTTTGTCATTCCACGAGCTAATGGTAATATGATGTGTCCTACTTGATTAATGCCAAAGTTCATGACATACAGTCAAAATTTTAGTAATTACCATATCCTGAGATAGTAAACCCATGTCATAGCGATAAAGTGTTGTCGTCTCATGAAAAAATTCTACTGAAATTTTCAAGTGAATTAGTCGAGTTCGCCCGAAAATATTTGTACTAACTTGATTGAAATAAAATGATGTCTGAATTATTACTCTTGTACATATTAACTGATCGAGAGTGAAATGATGTTTGCGATCAGAGTTTATTATCGCACGCATTTATTCACAATATCATTATATGTGAACAGACTTTGAAATATCTCCTGTAGAATTTTATATGAATTTTATTTTATCAATCAAGCATACTTCTCTACTTAGAACTATATAGGAAATCTTCTTTTATATATACTTACATTCCATATGAATGCGATGAAAATGATATTGAGGATTGTATATAAGAGCAATATATATATTTGAATTCGCCTGAGTGAGCACGTACACACACTTTTCCTTTCTCTTTCTCTTTCTCTCTCTTCGCTAGTCGTAATTGGATTACAACTTGCTCTATATCGCACACAATCAAATGATTAAATATAGGTTGTTCTCTATTCTCTTAACGATGATTGGTAAATTGATTTCCATTTATTTATGTATATCGATTTTTCTTTTTGTTTTTTACTGCTGGTGTATCATATTATTTTGAAAAAAAAACTCATTTAGATTCCCAGCTTTAATAATATCTGTTGAAAATCATTTGACAAAAATGAGCAACACATCATCAAAGTGAGAAGGTGTATATTAAATTACTTCGAATAAAATAAGGCACATGTATAACACTGAGGTGCTGATGCACACCTAAGTGATTGAACATGAAAGAAAATAAATGTTCATCCATTAGATCGAATAATTTTTGTTTTTTTCTTTTTTCTCTCTCTTGTTTTTCGAGAAGAGGAGGAGCAATTACAATATAATCTATTTTGCATATTTTCAAGTATGATGTAAACTGAATTCATAATTTAATGATTTGGAAGTAAAATATGTACGTGACATTATGATTATTCGGGATATTTTTCAATTGAAGATTTTTTTGTCGAAACAATCGCCTTTTGTTATTAGTTAAATGTGAAGGATACAAGCCGATTTCAAACTTGATATACAGCCGATATGGGAAATATCACAGTTATGTGTTGATTTGTTCAAATCGATAAATCTCTAAATGACATAATTTCTCATTGAATTGAACGTGCTGAAATTAAGTAAATTGAGAGGAAATAAACATACGATGTTAGCTGTTTAGATTTTTTTAACAGAAAAAAAACCAATTATGTTATAAATTTTAATTAAATTATCATTATAATCACATAATATTTGTTAGACTATTAACAATTATTCATTAATTGTAATTGTTTATTAGATTTGATATGAAAATTTAATTTTAGTTATCGATGAAAACTTCAAATCATCAGTGATCTAATAGTTTCAACCACTGCTATAAATTAACATGATTTATATGAATACGTGTATAGATAGTTGATTGAAATGAACAGTTTTGTAGAGAAAAATCAAAAGCTATAATCTGAAAAGACAATAAGTCGAATTGCATCAACATCATGAAAAGTTATACTTGTTTTATTGATTATGACTCAATATTTTACATCTTACATTTTTATATGGTTCGATTATTTTTACAAAAAAGTGTAAGATATAAACTGTGCCTAGCTAGGTCTTTAGTTTATTACTACCGAGATATTGTATTTTTTTTTTCGTAGTAGAATGTCTGAGTTTCGAATTTTGACTTGAAACTTTACATAGAGGCATGTATTAAGGAGAATAGCTTATTGTAGAAATGCTTTTACTATAGCCGTACCTTAAAATAGAAACAATCAAATTGTGCATCTAGATTGTACCTTTTGTGTTAGATCTTGATTTCAAAGGATGAAATTTAGAGTGTATGAGTCCTCGGGGATCCTATGGCAGCGATGATACTATAGACATGATTTTTAGCCTTGTGCGTTGGAATCATCATAGTTTCTGTTACAAAAATACATTTGTTTGAAACTATTGAAAATGGTGAGTATCATGCTTTTGTTTTATCTCAAAGCTGTTAAGCTTTTTAATCTATACTTTTCCAACTTTATCTCACTCTTGTATTGTTAGAACACTGAAAAAATATTTTATCATTCTATTTCGTTTATTTATTACCTAAATAAAAACAATAGAAATTTTTGAAATCAAGATGGGATATATTTATTCATATCGATATTAAAAAAATGTCTAATCATAGTTTAGAGTATGGTAATGTTGAGGATGTGGGCGAGCGTTGGTTTTCTTTTCAGCTACACTCACACCCGGAGAATATAGATGGCATTATAACAGATTGACGTTCTGTATGCTACCATAGATTATAACAGCATCAGAAAAGGTACGCACGAATTGGTTCGAAATCGGACATATACATACAATATCCTGTTCTCAGGAAGTTAAAAGAAAAAAACAAACAAGTTCTATAACATCTTCTAAAGACGATGAGTCCAATTGGACTCGATGACACTTACCAAGTCACGAAGAGTTAAATTAAAAACATTACTATTCAACGTGATCAATGTTGTCGATATTTTTTAGGGATGAAGAAGCTAAAATTTCGGCAGAAAGTACTATCGTCCTCGAACTGCTAAAAGTGGCGCTCAAGGAGAAGGGGAAAAAATGAAGTATATCGCGACTCGGATCCTCTCATAATAGGCGACCTATCATCAGGTCGTTTCTTCCCAAGCTTATCCCAACTCTGTAAAGAATTGGTGATCGCGATCATTTCGATGTTCATTTTAATTTCTATTGAAAGATGTATTCTCAATTGTTCAAGTTTATCTTGTTTTAAAAAAGAGACACAACTCCTGTTGATTTATATCAAGATAGACATACAAGATTGGAACATATTATAGAGTATAGAACTTATGATTGATCCTAATGGTTTAAATAAGATTGTATTCTTAAATAATGTATTCACATTTGTTGGTTAATTGAAACAATAGAAATTAACATCGATATCGACCTTATTATTTAAAATTTTGAATTAGCAAAACCGACTGCTTTGTATTCTTCAGATTATGTTTAGCAAAATAGGTATTTATCGTTCTTTGAAATACTCATTTGATAAGTTCGAAGGAAATTGCGTTAAGATGTTTATATTTGCAAAGATTATTTTCTGGTTTTGAGTTCAATGTCTATGAAACTGTCTTTAAGATAGAATTTTATGGAATATACCAAAAGATAGAACATCAGCAACTCAGAAAAACAAGATATTTTAAAGATTGTGTACCCTCTATTTATTGAGGTTATATATCTGGACAAGGGTAGAAACTCACACAACTGATGAGTTTATGACGGTTGATTTTTTGCAGTATATCTGCTGTCATTTTTTTGAAATCAAGAGGCTCCAAGCTGTTTTTGATATGTTATGCAACTTTTGATTCTGTACAAAATGATAAAAAAAACATGGAATAAAATTTTTTCCTCAACCTGGAAAGTAGCTAGCACTCCCTGTAAACTAGTGAATCCCCTGAAGAAAAATAATCCTGTGTACTTTTAAATGTCATTCATTGATGAAAATTTTCATCTCAGAGAAACTGGGACTTTATTCAGGATAGAATGCCATGGATAGTTCCTTCGAAAGAAGAAAAACAGTTTTTACGAAGATCCTGTATCTCCTTTCAGGGATGTCAGAAGGTCGAAATTTTGTTTTCCGTTTTTCGAGAAAATTGCCCATGCTCTTCTATTCAGGATGACGTCTCAATTTCTTCGAGAAAATTTTCGTCAATGAATGACATGTGAAAATGAACAGGAGTGTTTTCGTCCATAGAATCCAGGGAATTATAGACAGTGTTAGCTACTTTTCGGGTTGAGGAAAAACTTTTATTCAATGTTTTTTTTTATCATTTTGCATAGAATCAAAAGTTACATAACATATCAAAAACTGAGCTTGGAGTTTCTTGATGTAAAAAAAAATGATACCAGATATACTACAAAACATCAACCGTCATAAATTCATCAGGTGTGTCGGTTTTCACCCTTGCTGGGCTATATAACCTCAATAGATAGATGATATACAATCTTTGAAATATCTCGTTTTTTTCAGTTACTGATAATCATTTTTTTTTGGTATATTCCAAAAAAAGATTTGAATGATCTGTTGAAACGCAGGTGGGCATTATTTGTATGGCGTAATTTTTACTAGTTTTTTTTCTATAAAGATATGATTTTGCTAAAAGATCGTGTTGGCTAACTATTCGAAGAAATGGTATTAGAAGATAAAATTTTTCAGGTTGGTAGTTTCAGACATTGATGCATTGAATGTACAAAAAAACGAAAATATTTTTTTTTGTCAAGTGCGGGTGTGGATGTATGTGAACAGAATGTCATGTTCACATCTACACCCGCATCCAGAAAGATTATCACTACAATGGCAAAATGTTCAGGCGAATAAAAGAAAAAATCTGAACTACACAAGTTTTGCGGATAATGTTTTCTTTTCAATGAAGAATAATTCCTAGGAATATTAAATTTTTGAAAAATGTTAGTACGACACCCTCAAATACAAAATTTTGATGACCACTGGAGTTGTCAGAGTGTGGGTGTGGGTGTGGGTGTGGGTGTGGGTGGGTGTGGGTGTGGGTGTGGGTGTGTGGGTGTGGGATGCGGATAAGGGTGAAATCATGAGTCATACCCACCCACACCCACACCCACACTCACACCCACACCCACACACCCACACCCTGCTAGAGACCAATTGAAAATCGTCTAGAAAGATGCTGGCAAGGCTCTTGAGAACTTGTTGAATGAAATTGGACACATGTTTAAGGGGGCGCCCTATTGGATAGCAGTCGGCGTAAGGAGCTTTGGCAGAGTGATACTAGATTTCCCAAATTTTCCCCAAATTGTAGTGCTTGTAGTTAGTGGTGTGAGCATGTGAGTGAAAAGTACAGAGTGGGTTTTGTGAAGCCTCGAGTAAAAAATGAGCTCGAGGGTGTGGATGTGGGTGAAGAGAAAATCCACACCTCACACCTCGCACCCACACCCACACCCACATCGACATCCTCATTCATCAGTAATCACAAATTTGTTCACTTGCTAGAGCTTATCACAGATAGTCTTTGAGTGAGAATGATACTACATTTAGCTGAGAGCCTATTTCATCAGTACTGTGAAAACTGCTATGCACACAAAAGGTCCTGTTGACTAAGACATTTAAAAATAGTTTTTTAGTGTCTGAGGTGTCATTTTTAAGATTCGTTCGTTTCATGAGTCTCCAATAAATCCTTTTAGCTAATATGACACAAGCAACGATTTGTATATTATCGCAAATTGAAACTTCGATTTCATCATGTACAGAGTGTCACCATATATCTACACTTAAAAGATCTTTGGCCACTTATTTCAGATATTAGATTAAAAGTTGGATTTATTCATATGTAATCTTCGAGAGTACATGAACAAAACTTGCTTTCAGTCATCGGTTAGTTTTTGCCATGTTTTGTGCAGATGCAACAAACGCAAATAAAATAAATTACTAAGCTCATCGGGTGAGTTATGCAGAACCATGGTATTCCCCGAGCATAATTTAATGCATGTTGATTACAATTGATTATAACAGATTCATTTTGATGATTGGTCGATTTAATCAAGTTGAAAGTCCAAATGATACCCTTAAAAGAATATAGATTTATGTTTTAGTATCTTATTTTGAGTATTCTTACGTACAATAATACCCCAGATGAGGATAAAGAGCATAGAGAATATTGTTATACCCAAGGCGGTGATTAGCAATTGTCTGTAACTATTCGTTTCATTATGTCTTCTTCGAATAACAACTAAAACCTAAAGATTGCAAAATAATGGAGATAGTAGATGATAAAAAGATTCCCAACAAAGATTACTTACGAGACCAATTATCACCAAGTAGGTGCCTACTCCAATTGCACCGAGAACCACTGACCAGACAGGTAGTCGAGGTTCATCCCGACAATCATGTATGTATGCTCCACCAATGATTAAACCGGTAAGAAAAGTTGGCATCGCACATAGAGAATTTATCAGTAGGAACCAGGCAAAACTAATGTTCAATATTTCTTGCATTCGTGGCATTTTACAATATAAATCTTCAAACAGATGGCTGTTTAGTAGAGAAACTAAAACAGAAACAAAATATCAAAATAAGCTTCATAAATATCATGAATATACTAGAATTTATTCCAATATGAGCGTCTCGAACGACACTATCAGCTGAATCCTATACACTCTTTACTGTTTCACAATTTTGTGTGCGAAAGAATTTCAAAGTCTAATCAACTAATAGCAAACAGTTGATATGTAGAAACGAAAAAGAAATTTGCCTATTCCTTCGATGTGTCCCAGAATGTTTGAATCAGTGTGTCAAATTTTACTAAAACTTATCTGCAATGAATAATTTTGAAGTTTCCAATATTGTATATGCGGAGAAACAGATCAGTTATTCACATGATGCTAACGGTACCCCGACAGTTGAGCGTGCAACAGATTAGTCCTGACATTTGAGTCCCGGCATTTGAGTTTCAATAGATTATGAATGTAAAAACTTGTGGGTGTGGAATAACTGAGAACGCCATCCACACGAATATCCGCATTACACATCAACACTGACACACCCGCACACGACCTAGGAAATCTCAATTGTTGGGAAGCTTAAATGTCAATGCTCAAGTGTCGGGGCTTATCTATCGCATGCTCAATTGTTGCGTCACCGATGCTAAGACCATCACTTATCAATCGGTAATCCATTTATGAGACTCTCAAGGAGACCTAATCAAATCTTCATTCTCCATATACTGCGGAGGTTAAATAGTTAATTGGGGTTAGTGTCTGTTTTGAAAAAAAAAACAAAAATTCTCTATAAAAACAGTCTACTCGGGCTTGATTGTTGTAATGTTTTAATAATGGTCACCGGATATAATTAATGTGTATGTTTTATCTGTAAATAAATAAAACAGACAATTGGACAATGTTGCCAATAGTAATAATGGTAATAACAATAAAGAAGAAAGTTAATGATGGTAACCATAAAGGGTGATGAAGAAAGAAGTTAACAGCAACAGAAAAGAAACGACGTACAAAGGAGAGATATCAATAAAAGAGAGATCAAAGAAGAATATCAAGGAGGAAGAGAAAAGCCAATGACAAACATATATATAGAGTGAGCGTCATAGAGTGTCATCTGTTGACGCTAACATCAGTGAATAGGAAATTTTATTTATACTTCATTCTATCGCACAGATCTTAAATAAGACTAGCCTAAAGTCTGGGCAGTCGTTTGATTTATGCAAACCTCAAGATTTCAGGATTGATATTTGTATTTTAACAATACTTCGTCTACAGAACTTGTCTTTAAAGACAAACACAAAAGTTATGCATCTAAAAGAAAAGTTTTGATAATTCTTAACATGCAGAGAAAAATTAAACTTTGCAGACCTCATAATTCTCTGAGCCTAGCGATTGATGTTTAACGATGGAAAAAAAGCGGTCTGGAATGTTTCACGTTCTTTTTCATTATCATCTTATGTTTACATGCTTATGAGAAGACGTTCAGTGATGAAGATAAAACCTCTTCTTCTTGGATCGTCCGGACACTCTGTGACACCGACAGTTCTAGTTTTCAATATGTTGTTTCTTTGCATTTATGTAGAGTTTGAAAAAATTATGGATTGATGGGACATCTGGCATGTTGAAGACTGCTCCTGGTATCTGAATTTTGTTTTTTTCGCAGTAATGAACTTGCGAAAATAATTGCAAAGAGTAACGAGTGTGCAGAAAAATATAAATCTGGCAATCTTTTGAGTGGAATGTTCTTCCATTACAACTCTTAGTATTAATTATTTTGTTAAAACATGTAGCCAGAAAATTCTTACAGAGTCAGCGAATTGGAATACAATTTTATGTACTTCATAACATTATAAATAATTAAAAGAAACCGCTCTCTAGACGCTATGTTTTCAAAAGTAAAGAAAATAAATTATATAACAAGCTCGTTGTATATTAATGATGAATTTAATGTGAAAAGAATTACAAGTTGAATGTCAATGATTAGCTGAGCGGTCAATTCGTACAGTACATCCAGTCAAATATCGCATGTTTTTACTCCTAGCTTCTACCCTGTCCGAAAATTTCCGGCTTTGATTGACACACTCTTTTCCCGTGAATATCAAATTTCCAAAATTTCTTAACAAGATCCTATTTGCTCAAATGTACTACATTTTTATGTTAAACGACTGATGTATTTTCGATATCCGTGATCTATCTGTAGGTGAGATGTTATAGAAGTCTGAGAAACTACTCTTTTGAAAAATTTGATCCAAACCAATTTATCTTGAAACATTCATAAAAAATGCTTAAAAAAACGACAAAAGAAAACCGGAGTAAGTGTCTTGACGTCGCGAGACGTACCAGGCTTCTCCCTTCCGTTTTGCCACGAAATGTCGAATTTTTGCTGATCCTCACCATCTCTTTTATTCTACATGTACTCTATGGATGACACCTTATTTGAGTAATTTCGATTGTAGCAATTAAGAGAAAGGTGACAGACACGATTATGGAAGATAAACAGCATAGAGATCTCATTTGACATGTGACAACTCAAACTGAATAGTGCATGAGAACTGAATCGAGAGTTAGGGTTATTTGCCAGCTCTTTCAAGATGTTCGAACGAACCTATGTTGCTTGTATAGTATTGTACAGTGCTGGACAAAAGTTCTGAGAGAAACTTTTCTCTTTTATAATGTCTTGTTAAGAAGCTATTAGAAGCAAATGGTGATGTTCTATATAGGAGTGTCGTATTAGCATTAGTATTAGCATTAAATTAATGCTAATACCAATATTCTTGTTTTCCGTTCCTAAGAAAAAGGATTTCAATTTGTATTGATTAATATAAGGTTAGACTCAGTCAGCAGCCCTGATTAATTCCAATACTTTTGTGTTACAATTTTAATATAAAAGTATTGTAGCTAATATAAATTAATACTATATATGCATTAACTTATTATTAATTACAATTTTTTATATTAAAATTGTAACACAAAAGTATTAGAATTAATCAGGACTGTTGGCTGCGTCTAACCTTATATTAATCAATACAAATTCAAATACTTTTTCTTAGGAACGGAAAACAAGAATATTGGTGTTAGTATTAAATTAATGCTAATACTAATGCTAATAAGACACCCCTAGTTCTATAGTGTATCTAATAGCAAACTTTTATACACTATAATTGCATTATAATTGAACGTTTCTGTAGCAATTTACATAAGTTTTAATATTAATCCATTGGCCAAAAGTCCTGGAACAAAGCAGAAAGATTCCATCAGATATCTAATATTATATACAAAAAATTATTAGATGAAGCTGAAAATTTCAGAATTTGTAGCTCTTAGTAAGACAATATTTTTCATAAAAAATAATTTTGAAGAATCTATTGGCATCGTGGTTTGCTAAGACCAAGAAAAATGATACCTTTAGGCATACAACGCTTCTACTAATCTTGGTTCGATACATGGGTTCTTCATAAAACTCTCAAGGTATATTAGGAGTACTGCCACTAGTAAATATCCAAAGTTTCAGCTCATCTCTGCATATCAATTCCGAGAGATTTCAATTTTAAGATTCAAAAATTGTACTTTTTTGGTGCAAAAATTTTCCCACGCCTTACATGTAGAATGACTCAGGACGGTTTTAAATTATAGAAGACATCTGACTTGGGCTTACTACGGTGTCCGCTCTTTTAATTTCTCATTAGTTGTTTAGTAAGAGAAAATATACGGCAACATGGATAAGAAACTGTTTCAAGATGCTTCAAGATGAATATCAAATTTCAATAATAGAATTATTTATACAAAAGATGAAAATAAGAAATTCTCGATCATGCCTAATATTTAGACATTTAATATATTCATAGTGTCTTGTTAATTGCTTGCTTCTTCTTTAAATAAAATAGAAACATGTGAAATGCACTGTTGGATGACTTTTTGTGAAATGAGATGGCATGCTTGGTCAACTGCTGTTTCCAGCTCCGCTTGACTTTTTGGCTGTGGTGTTTTGATTGTTTCTTTGAGTGAGTGTCAAACATTTTCATTTGCATTGAATTCAGGCAAATGATATGGCAAATCTAATAATTTGAGTCCATGATCATTGAACCATCGACGAACTGGTTTTGTCCAATATGATCTTAATTTATCTTGAGCCACCGTATACCGACGACATTTATGTACATGCGGACCAAGATGAAAAGCTAATAAGTGTTGATATAATGTTTGATTGATATAATCATCATACCTGGCGAACGTTTTGCCATTCCATCAAACTGCATCCTATAGGTTGACTTAAGCACGAAGAGAAGAGATTTCAAGTGTAGGCATTGGCTTCCCACGTTTCGCCCAAACGATTTTACCTATGTTACGCAATTGGACCTGTGTCTCGTCAATGAAAATCCATTTTTTGAGGTCACTATTCTTATGTTCTACAGTGAATAAATGACGTTTTTCAACTTGAGTTTGTTTTGATTTGACTTTGATTTGTTGTTTTCGTGGATAAAATCCAAGAGGTCGTCGACAGCATTGTAATATACGTTCACTAACTTGAATGTCGAACTTGTTAAAGATATAGTTCGAAAGTTGATTAAAAGTTGCAGTCGGATTTTTTGAGATGTACTTGTAGAGCGACCGTTGCTGTCCTTCAGTAAGAGAAGGTGATCGACCTGGTCTTTTCCGTTCAGTCAATAATCCTGTTTTATTGAAGCAAACGATAGCACGAGAACCGGTTCGACGATCACAATCCAATTGGTTTACTATTGTACTGAATGTCTTATTTGGTTTTTGTGCTTCTTTCACTGCAAATAAGCATTCTTCGCGTGTCAAATTTCGCATTTTTTAATGGTTTTAGTATTCAATCAATTTGAAACAAACAACTTAAAGAAAAAAAGGCTAAATATGAGTAACGAACTATCTAAGAACAATATATGCGACAATAATATTATCTTTTTTTAAATATTCTT